GACAGTTTGTCATGGTGGTGGAGGAACAAGAGATCTGGATGGCGGTCACTATGGACATCAGAGCAGAGGCAAGTTGTAATTAGAGTTCCAAACAAGCTGAGCTGAGCCTGCGTTTAGAACATTTCTGCTGGCTTGAGCTCAATGGATCTGGTCCAATAATCGGGTTGGCTGTTTTCCACCCTGAACCAGACCGGAGACTCTACGGGGTGGCCTCAAGTGGCAATGACATGTAGGATATTCATGTTTACGTAGTAAATATATATGGGGACCTTACTATGATGGATCGAGCATAGAATTTGCATAGCCGTTGGACTTGACATAAAATATATTTCCGGGCTGAATATAAACAGGTCTTGCTAAATATAGTTCTTAAAAGTACTTCACGGAATTTAGTAAATCGGATATTTTTTCTGGACTTCTTGAAACCTTTTTACCGAGTACATATCATTGTAGAATACATTGTTTTGACGTTATTTTACACTTCATAGAAAATATTTGTTCATTGTAGTAGTGTGATTTGGTAAGAAAACTTTATTTAGGGATGCCCGAAAAGGAAAACATGAACTTCAATGTTGACAAAGGGAGTACAAAATATGCCTATGTACTCCGCATCATATAAATACCCTTTACAACTAGTAATAGTTGGATAATAGTATTGATCTTTCAGGGGTTTATCAACATTGTTTGCTTGATGCTTGTGTTTGTTTTATGTGTTCTTGATGGGAGTATAAGAGTATGGATGAGGACTTAATTTGTACTTCTCCAAACCGCTCAATTTATTAATTAGTTACAAATGCTCATGAATAACATATTTATAGAATATTACTTCTGGGTCATGCATGTTTGCCAGTAATTTGTCTTGTGTTGCTATATATTTATCAAATATTATTATTCACTATTTATTATTTTAAGTTTTAAACACTATTATTATTGTGCTCAAAATTGTTTGGTCTAGCAAGTAAGCAAGCGGTTATAGAAAGCTTACGGGAATATTCTCTATTTTGACATTCCCATTACCGAATATACGGGATGAGCAAAGTGAAGGGATTCACATATATTGAATTTATACCAGATTGATAAAAGCAGAAGTGCATATGCTCTAACACTAAGTGGTCGTTTGGAGCCATAAAATTGGGCTTATAAGCCTTAAAATGAAAAAAGAGAGCCAAACACTAGCCAATTAGGCTGTTTGGGTTGATATTCCTTAGGGGTAATTTGAGTTTGCACCCCATATTATTGTCTAAATTGGACTTTGCACCCCATTTTTAAAACTCTTTGTTTTTGCACCCCAACCTCATATGAAAAGACAAAAATGCCCTCAATCAGGAATATGTTGAAGGTCAACAGAATTGTTAATGGAGGGGCATTTTTGTCTTTTCATATGGGATTGGGGGTGCAAAAACAAAGAGTTTTAAAAACGGGATGCAAAGTCCAATTTAGACAAGAATATGGGGTGCAAACTCAAATTACCCCTATTCCTTATCAGCCAAAAAAGTAGCAATAGTGTTACTTTAGGAAAAATTGACAAGAATAATCCAACATTTCACTGGTCTTCTCATAATAATCCCACCTTTAAATAATCCCAAAATAATCCAACCTTTGCACCTCATCTTCTTTCATTGGACCCTGACCAAGTTTTTTACCTTTTTTAAAAATCTTATATAAATAATCTCACATTTATAAGGATATAATTAAAAAGTGAAAGGTGAGATTATTTGTATAATTTTCAAAGAAAGAGTAAAAAACATGGTCAGGGTCCAATGAAAGAAGATGAGGTGTAAAGGTGGGATTATTTTGGGATTATTTAAAGGTGATATTATTATGAGAAGACCAGTGAAAGGTGAGATTATTCTTGTCAATTTTTCCGTTACTTTATGAGCTGATTTCTATTTTTTGAGTTAAAGGACACTTATATTTGAAGAAAGTTGCCGCTAACATACATATATTTAAAATACAAAGAAAGTAATATCCTTTTTGGTAATTATACATTCAATCAGCCAATTTATCCAAAATATTACCAAACACTTTCACTTCAGAAATTTCAACCCTTCAAGCACTTTCAGCCATTACAGTCATTACTAAACAGGCCCTAACAACACAAGGGCTAGGTTAGGATGTCTTTTATATAAACCGTTCCATTTGGAGGTCTCATGAATGAGACACTTGTTATAGAGTACTTTCGTCCCGTTTAAAAGTTCTCATTACAAAATGACAATATTTAGATAATAATTAAATGAGGTAATTCGAGTTTGAGAAATATTTTTGATGGATATATAATATAATGAGGTCATTGATGACAAATGTAACGTTATAAATATACTATTTTTAATATTTGATTATTATTAAAACAGATATGAGAACTATGGTATATATGAAACGTTCAAAAAAGAAAAATTCTTTACAATAGACCTGATAGAATATCATATAGTTATCGTATCCTCCGTCCCCACTAGTACTAAAAGAGTTGTACTAACCACACTCAGGGCCCCTACATATTTTTTTAGTTTTGATTGGTCTTTGGAGTAAAAGCATGATTTGTTCTTCCGGTTTTATATTTTAAATAATAAGAATAATAATGTTCATGGATACTTATTTTAAATGATACTCCCTATTTTAGTCGTGTGGCATCAACTAAAATTTGACTTTGCCCAAGAGCATTGAATTTATTTAGGAGCGTGTTCATACCACCTTTTCCCTCAAAAATTTACTTTTTCGTATTTTAAATTCAATAATGATAAACTTTGGTCAATAATTTTGATTAGTATAACTATATGAAAGTTATATTATGTAAATTTTATACTTTTATAAAAGTATTTTCAATAAAAAAACATTTCTATAGAAAAACTATTTTATAAATCATCGGTTATAAAAATATATCAGTGGTCAAAGTTAAATTTGATTGATCAAAAAAATTAAAAATAACAAAATTTTAAGAGACGGAGAAAATATATTACTTAGATGGATTACAGTTATCTTTGTCGGATTGTGTAACAAAGAGTATGACAATTGACATTACCAAAAGAAGGGTGCTAGCCGAGAGCCCGGGGCATTGGACACCCATATGTCCAAATCTTGTATCATGAGCATAGTTGTCTCTCCGTTAAATCATTACACTTTCCTTTTTGGCATGTCCCATTACTACTTTACGTTTCTTTTTTTAGGCAACCCATGTTACAATAAATGTCTTAACTACCCTTCATCATTCACTCACTTTTTACATTTGAGTGGATAACATTAATTCCCCCCAAAGTCAAAGGACATCCAAGACATTTGTTCTCACATTAATTGAGTTCTTAAAACACCGTGTCAAAAGCAAACATCAAGATTCAACCGGGACGGAAGGAGTAGAAAATTTTGGTGGCTTGAATGGAGGATGAGTACTTTGTACCACATTAGCCCTAACAACAATGGCGATCAACATATTTACAACTCATGCTTTGAGAAATAGCACCATAGTTATGGAGATGAAGAGTGTATCTATTAAGAAGGGCATATCAATAATTGATTAAAAGAATCAAGCCCTAAACACTATGGGACCGTCACACAAGAAAGAAATTAAATTAAAGTGCTTGATTAGTATCAATATCAATTATTGCTCACCCAATGCTTGATTAGTATCAATATCAATTACTCGTCACTTTTATTAGACATATTTGGATACTAATGTTTTAATTTCTTGAAGTCATTTGCGCTAGAGAAAATAAGTAAGTTTCTCATTGAAATTGCTGACTTATCATAAGAGTTAGTAATCTAATATTTATCATAAGAGTTAGTAATCTAAACTTTATCAGTATGACCAAATAATAGAAACTCTTATTTAGAAAACAAAAACTTATGTAGACTATATTTTGGATTTTGACATAAGCAGAACAACAACGACATTCAAGCCTCACTTGCAAAAAAAAAATCTGAATCACCTAGCACCAATGGATACATGATGTTAGAGTCAAAAGGAAAAGAAAGATAACAAAGATAAAAAGATAAGGTATGACAAAAAGATAAAATAAATACTACTGCATACTTACGGAGTATAAGATAAAATTAAAAATAATAAGATGAAAAATAAAGAAAATATGTATTACGTATAAAATAAAAATGATAACAGGATAAAAATATATAAGAGAGATAAAAAAGTTAAAGGGATACAAAGATGATAAGAGATCAATCCACCACCCAATACCCGCCCTCCACTTTACTCTCTCCAAACTCATATGTAACTCTAGAAAAAGCGTATCACCAGTGACTCCTTTAATCCATGTTTGTTTGGTTCTTCTTTTCCTTCCTGCCTCTTCTCCAAACCTATCAACTCGTTTAATAGATTCCTCATTCGGTCTTCTACGTGCATAAAAATCACCACAGGCGAGACTCATGCATCTTATCTTCAATAGGTGACACTTTTACCTTTTGTTTGATTATCTCATTTTTCAAGCAAATTTTTCTAGTATATTCACACATCCAACGTCACATGCGCAGTTATGTCACACTCATCTATTAAATGTGTCATTGTTTCACCGTCCAACAATCTACGCTATATAATAATGAATGACTATTTGCTCTCCGGTAAAATATACACTTAAGTCAAGGTATATGTCAATATTCCTCATGTTTTTACTCTCACGGTTTTTTATACTTCCTCCGTCCCGTAATTAAGTTCACAGTTTGACTTTACACAGATTAAGAAAATAAATTTGACTTTACTGTGGAGTACACTGTTTTGCACTGTTTAAACATTGTTTGGACACTGTCTGGCACTGTCTGGCATTGTTTGACACTTTTTTTATGCAGATTATTTGCCAAATAAGGAAAGTTTTGAAGTGTTAAATTAATTTTGGGACTGCCCAAAAAGGAAAGTGAGAAACTAATTTTGGGATGAAGGGAGTAATAAAAAAAATGGGTAGTTAACCATAACATCATTTTATTTGCGTTTTCGGTGCTAGAAATGGATTCCAACCAATTCACTTGCCCTACCTTTTTGGATTTTATTTCAGATGGGGTGGACGACAATCTTTTTTTTCAACTACCTACAGAACAAAGCGCTCCAAGCAATGCATTCCTACACAGACAAGACATAAAAGAGGGAAGAGAGGTATTGAGAGAAAGACTGGCACTAGGGAGGAAGACCCCCCCCCCCCCCACCCACCCACCCTTCTCCACGCATCTTCTTCCTCCGAACACACGCATCTTGAAAAAAAACCAGTTTTCTGTGGTTTGAATTATCTCTGAATTATTGTTATTGGGACATAACTTTGGGATAATTGATTCAGTTTGATGGAGGGAGAGGTGGTCGGAACATCGTCGCCGTTTTCCGCGGCCGCCAAGGTCGCTGCTTTGAGATGTGGGGTTGAGGGTGGGAATGGGGTCAAGGGCAGTGTTGAAAATTGTTCGAAATCGGTTAAATTTGCGCTGACGTTTTGGGAAATTACTATCGCCAGCAGCATCGTTCTGGGCTTTGCATTGGGTTTGGTAGGCGTATATTTCACCATGCCGGCTTCGGATTACAGCTTTCTCAAGCTTCCTCGGACTCTTGAAGACATCCAAATGTTAAGGTATCTGGAAAATGAAAAAAACAATGCTTTGATAATTAGTCACAATGTATATATTTCTGTTCTATTGATACTCGCATGATCAGCTGATCACATGTTTTTCCTTTCTAATTGTGATTTCTGTTATGATCATAGCAATTATTGAACTATTTAAGATTTGTCTTGCAACACTCAATTGTGTAACCCGGGGCATTTATTGTATTAGGCCTAATTTTGGGATTGAGTTTGCAGTATGGAAATAAATATTTCTTATTTGAAAAAAACTTTTAGAATGTTTGTTTTATACTTATTGCTATGTGATAGTTGTTTTACGAGTTATAACTGTGATTGTTTGGCAGTGAGGTTGATGAAGTGTGACATAAAACTGAAAATGCCTAAAAATTGAATATATTAAACTCAATACAATTCTTTAAATGCAAAAGTCTTCCTGGACTGACTTTTGTGTTCCTCCGGCGTGAAACTGTAATAATATGTTTATTATTGTGCTTGAACAAAATGAAGTGTATCCCACCCGCAAATATAATCCCCAAATGGGGGCATTTCCATTCATCGAAAAGTAAAATTTCGATAATCTGCTATCGTATTGGGTGTTGGAATTGACTATGAAGTAAACACATTTTAATTGCAATGTGTAAGATTTTTTAAAAGAAAAATAAAAGATAAGAAGAAGAAACTGACACCTTGTCCTGGTCAGTGGGATAGACATTTCTGTTTGAGTTGGATCATCAGATGGAGATTGTGAAGAAATACAGCAATAAAGGGAATTGTTAGGTTGGTAGATGAGCAGATCAAGCTTTTTTTGAAACTGTGTAAATCAATTCATCTTGACACGGAGTACAATCTTTTCCTTAATAGAATTGCTCTGCCTGCCAATGGGAAGATGGGAATTTGTAGGGAAGCAGAAATAATGAATTGGATAAAATACAATGATTTATTCTAAGAAATTACTACAAATATGAGTAAAACATGAGTTATGTGCATAAATAAAACTATCCTTAGTTTTATCCTAAAAATTGGATTCATTTAGTTCTAAAGAATGAACCAAAGTAGCTAATAGTTCTTTTTCTAGTTTTTTGGGATGGAATGTGTAGATATGATTTATGTTTAAGTTCTGTGTATGGAATTTTCTTTAGCGCGTCTTCTTAGAATTTAGGTGATATAGAGACATTGTTTTTTACTGTTAACTTTTTTCCCTATAGGGATCAACTGGAGAGCTATACAAGCGACTATACTATGCAGGTCCTATTTGGCTACTGTGTGGTGTACATTTTTATGCAGACATTTATGATCCCTGGCACTATTTTCATGTCTTTACTTGCTGGGGCACTCTTCGGAGTCTTTAAAGGTGTATCTCTTGTTGTGTTTGCTGCCACTTCTGGTGCTTCATCTTGCTTTTTCCTATCCAAACTAATTGGTCGTCCCCTGGTTTTCTCTCTCTGGCCTGATAAGCTGACATTCTTTCAGAACCAGGTGATTTGCACTGCTGTTTGATTTATTATATCTTTTGCTTGCTTGATTGATGGATAGAACTGCTATGCTAAAAGAATACATCAAATGAATACCATCAGGTGACGCGGAGGAGGAAACGGCTGCTGAACTATATGCTATTCCTTAGAGTTACACCAACACTGCCTAACACATTTATTAATGTTGCTTCTCCCATTGTCGATGTGCCTTTCCATATTTTCCTCCTGGCTACATTTATTGGCCTTATTCCTGCTGCTTATGTTACTGTTCGGGTAATTTGTCTCCACTCGTAGATTTTTCTATTCAAAGTCTAAACAGGGGGGTTGCATTTTAGCATATGTTTGGATGGAGGGGCTTGGGGTTTGTATAAACGGAGTATTTTTTATAGGAAAGTGTTTCTAAGAAACAAAGGAAAAAGGTTCTTGAAATCTTATGTTAATCTTTCAGTTTATTCAAAAACAAAAATAAATATCAAGATACAGGCTAATCCATCCATCCAAACAGACTTTTAAACAACAAAGCATGTCAAGAATGAGATGTTATAATGGTTGCTGTCAATATCTCTGCCTAGCCCATGAGTCCCCACCTAGTTCTTTTTACAGAGCATTAGTGAAATCAATATAAATGGAATGTCATGCTAAATGTTTTTATGAAGTTGTTATACTTATATTATTATGCTAAAAAAGTACTCATCTTGTTATTATCTGGTGTGGTTCCCAACATTATATGTTAATGCAGGCTGGAATTGCTCTTAGTGAGTTGCAATCTTTGGGCGACTTGTACGATTTCAACTCCATAGCCACACTGTTTCTTATAGGAGCAGTGAGCATTACCCCCACATTAATAGGCAGCAAAAGCAAAGCGTAATAGTGTCGCTTCCATAATAATCCCGTCCAAGCATTCCGTGTGCGGCTTCTTCTCTGTACAGATCACCATTTGAACAGATGTAATTGTTCATTTGGCTTTTAGAAGTCTGTAGATCGGTGTACTCATAAAAACTCAAACCTGGATGGGTTTGTACATGAATTTAAGGGTTGAGTATATCCATTTGATTCTTTATGAAGATGAAACTGCGCTCCAAATGTTGTATATTTGATTATCTTCATCATTCGTGTTTATTTATAAAAGTGCAAATAGGGGCGGTCCCGGTCCCGGTCATTGGTAGGCGAAGCCCGGGCCTGACCCGGTTAAATCCGGGTCTGGGCCAGTTCCGGGTACTCGGGCGGGCGGGTCCCGTTTCCATTCTATTTTTTTTTCATTTCCCCTGTTTCCAAGTCAAAAAAAATTAGCTGATCGGGGACCGAAATTGGGACCGGAACTGCTCTGTTCGGTCCCCAAATGGGTGAACCGGGACTGAGTAACATGCTTGACCGGACTCTGGGCAGTCCTGGGCCTGAACAAGATTTTCTGGACTTGGTCCGGTCTCAAAGAGTGCCGGACCCTGTTCCAGACCGGGCCGGACTGATGGACCGGGTCCACCCCTAAGTTGAAATATATGGCGTTGTACATTGGGGAAGACTAGTCATGGACCCGGTTCGGGCCACCCGGCCCGCTACTGTACGGACCCGGAACCAGCCCGGTTCTCGGGTCCGGGTCCGGGTCCGGGTCGGGCCTAGGCCTGGTGGGGGGACGGGTCCGGGCTCGGGCCTTGTATTTGGCGAACCGGCCCGGCCGGGTTGGGCCCGGGTCCGAGCCGAATTGATTTTTTTTTTTTTTTTTTTTTTCATTTTTGGGGTTTCACCTGGGTTGGGCTTGATGGTTAGGAGGGGTTTGGGGGGTTTGGGGGTGGGGGGTGAGGGGGGGGGGGTTAGGAAAGCAAAAAAAAATGAACAAACCGGAGGCCCGGCCCGGGTCCATGACTAGGGAAGACCCATATAAACGGTGTTGGAAAATGCTTCTTTGTACTTTGCAATTTGCATCCATTGTTGTGGTAATGGATGTTATATGCTATAGTGACGATTGAGGGTGGCGGACAACCAATGATGGCGGATGTTGGCAGTAGTCAATGTGGCAAGTCGACAACAACATTTGAACTTGGAAGATACAAACTCCAGTGACCAAAATCGATAATGGCAGTTTGGCTAACATGATACACTAGTGAATCAGTGAATGTTTAGAGTTTTTTGGGCAAAAGGTTAGAAATTTTAGGGACAAAGGGAATATGATGGTTTTTTTGTTTAAAGTAAAAATGCTGTAATATCGTTAATCTAATCAGTCATTAGCCAAAAGACTATTAATACAATTTGGTGGCTCTGTGCAAATAAAACGACAACCTGGCATATATACTTTTGCTCTAACTAAAGTATGGGCAACACGATTCGTCGCTAATTTAGAATGGCTTAACTTAATACTTATGTTGTTGATCATCATATGCCCAAGAATAACATCAAGACGTCCCCTGATCTCTTCACAGACCCGAAACAATCATAGTTGCACCGTTTTTCAATAATCTTCACTTTGATCCAGCCACTTCCCAATGCCCAAGCCATCGCCTCACGCACCCCAACTGCTTTATGCTGCCGCTTTCCGTTTCTACTCTTGGACAATAGCAATATCAATACAAGCTAAGTCTACTATCACGAGACCAATAAAACAAAAAAATAGGCATTCATTTGTAATTGTCTTAAATGTCTCATTTATCTGCAAATATTGTTTGTAAATCATTCATTTATCCATAACGTATTTGTAGTTTTCTCCATAATTTTAATATGAATACATTATTTCATATGCTAAATTACTTAAAGAGTTTAAGCTAATTAATTTTCAATATTTATACTAGATTAAGAAGGTACATCACAATGATAATATTGCTATATTATAGAATCGGAGTTGCATGTTTCCAGCGTTAAATGGGCTGAAATGGCAGGGCTACATTTAGCACAAGTAAAACTCAGGGCTAATATTTGTTTGGTAGAAGGTCAATGCCCTGAGCTAGATTTTGGGCTGTGCTGACTGTAAAAAAGTTTACATGTTTGGAAAAGATTATGAAATGGTGGCTTCAAAAATGTTTAATTGCATTAAAAAGATTAAACTTTAATGTACACTAGATCTTTGAATAAATTGTATAAATATGTTTTTATCACTTTATTTTAATCATTTTTTTATATGTTAGTAGTATTTGATTATTTTTAAGAGTGCTTTGCAATATAACTTTACGTGCAATCTTATTTTGATTTCCTATATTCTTTGTCAATTCTAAAATAAATTCTCAATTGTTGGACCCTTCAATTTCATTATAACCACTAAAAAGCAACATTTGATCTAACAAATGTTTAGAAACATCAATTAAAGCATTTAACCCGTCACAAATCACAATACTCATTTCTACTTTACTTGTAAAGAAAGAGTAACACTAATTGATTGGTCTTATTTCATTGAATCATCACATCCAGCTTTGTTTGAGAAAATCGTTGACTTTATTAAGTTGACAAGCTAATTTTTCAATTTTGATCAAACTAGAAAAGACTTTTTACATCAAATGTGTTATTTCTCGCTCAAATTTCATAGCTAACTCTAGACATGCAACAATAGAAGCAAAATACTTTGTTTACTTTTACACTATATCTCAACCAATTCACACATTGATCAATATAACGAATTTACGCAGCTTCTGTCCTATAAATCACAGAAGATTATCATACCTAATGAAGTTGATTTGAACACAGTACCTTAGGATCCTCCAAATAGGAAAATAATCCAGAATATAACCCTCCAAAAATGGAAATTTCATGCCCATATCCTTTTCTCTGCATTCTAAGTTTCTAACTTTAACCAGATGAAGTTATTGTTTTATAAATTTATTAGCATTGCTTAATCTGCACATAAAAATAATAGTACGTAACTCAGCATTTACGGCATATTTGAAACCACACAACAGTATTAAAAACTCAAATTATTGTCTGTAGCAAGCAAATTTCAAGTGGTTTCATTAGCTGGGACAAGTAAATGTATTTAGAGTACAAATTGCATCATAGTCAACAATTGGGGTATCAAATTGCATCATAGTCAAACTCTCATGTATGCAATTTGTCCAATCATATCATCAAACTACTAAATCATTCAATGAAAACGTTATATCAAATTGCTTTATACGTAGTACTACATAATGATCATTCAAATATGTCTGAATTGAATTTAAATAAGATCATCATCACTTCATCATATTGAATTGAATTTAAATAAGATCATCATCATCTCTTCATCATACTATCCCGGTAAAGCAGAAAAGAAAAGCAAGCTCTATGTAGGTAGCATGCAACCTTAAATACCACCCCGTCATTTACAATGCAAATGTTACATAACTATCGACTAAACCCACACTCTCTTTGAAGAAGCAGACTGACAATAACTCATCCTGCACATTTTTGCATTTTGTTAATCATCATCCACCTCTGGCTTGACAAAGAACTCAATATAAGCAATACGGCTGGGGAGATGATAGGCAGCAGAATCTGAATGGGTGTGTGAGCTTGCTGGTGGTCTTGCAACGGAGACTAGATGCTGAACTTTCAGCATTCCAGTCCTACCCATAGTGAATTTGCTTCCTCTGTTATCCTTCAAGACACTGCTAGGTATGTTCGAAGTTGTTGCCTGAAGAAATTTGTACTTGTACCTGTTAACAACATCATGGTCAGGGATTAATACTCGCTCGCCATTCTACTTCTGAAATATAACAATAATCACCTTAATTACTACAACAATAATAATAACAACAAAATGATGGTGATGAAACATTATAATAGAAACAGTAACAGTAATTGCTAGCAAATGTAATAGAGGTTAAACCGGTATGAGACAAGGTGATCACAATGAAACGCAACAAGAAGATCAGAGGTATTGCGTTGCATGAAGTCTATCTGCAAAATAACAGACAAAAGTTGAATCCAATCTATATGAGCGATAAAAATATAGAATAGTAAGTGAAGCTTTCAGTTTTTCCGTACTCTAAGATGAGTGAGTTACCTGTAAGTCACCATGGCCTTGGGCCTTGAAGGTTACAGTTGGGGGGGTTGGTTGCAGTGTTAGCAGAATACTTGACCCAGGCCATTCAAGATCATCTATGGCTTCCTTTAGCGCTGCAGACTATCAATTCGAAAGCTTTGGTTTGTAAATAATCATCATGAGATAAACAAACAAAAATGTGCACCGGACAAAATTTGTTGAGCAAGTACAATAACTTCTCCAATTGTGAACTTGCAACTATAATTTCATTACTCAACGGTCTAAAATACCTCAAAACTTGACAGCAGACCTTGTGATGGAAGATTTCAAAAGATGAGATGAGCACACTAAGGGTCAATTTTGATGGAGGGTATTTGAGGGAAAGGTTTTGGAGCGCTTAGTCTATATCATAATTTATACTTCACATAATTTAGTTTTTGTTTTTTAGTTTGAAAGATTAACATAATATGTTATCATAGAGCAGTTGAACAAAATGGATGGGTGCGTCCAAGTGATCAAAGTTTTTAGGAACAAAATGGATGCCGGGGTTCTAATTGAATAATGTAATGAAAGTACCAGCAACTATGAATGTTGATATCCTATGCCACCATCTATGTTCTAATTCACACAATTGGCAACTAAAAGTTCACCTTGACGGTAAAACTGACAGGACTAGTCCCAGCAGGTTCAAAGTGGCAGTCCCACGGCAATGTCTCGGGAATCCGTGTTCTGATCTCCGCACAAATGCAAGCATTAGATGAATCAACAGATCTGGCCAAATTAAACAACAATGTCGTTTCAGTTACTCATGAAAGAAGCAACAATTCTTATCCAAATTATGATGTTCATCAAGGGGACTTGATGAGCCTCCTTGCACCAACCTAGAATTTTCTATTATAAAACCACACATGATTGCAGGCAGGGGCGGAGCCAGAGCACTGGACCGGTACAAAGAATATTTTTGAAAAAACAAAATTACACATAATTTTTTACACTAAAAATATACGGAGTAGCTATTTTTTAAATTTGGGCTGGGCTGGGCCGGGGCCAGGGTTGGCCACCCCCTAGCTACGCCCCTGATTGCGGGAGGAGTGCTACTTATGGACGGCACCTGATATGGGGAGAGTCTTGCATGCACAATAGATGCTCAAAGGAACAAAACCTCCATTAATTTTACAAGTATTATTACAAAGCACAAATATACAAGTAATACACATACACCCATTGAATTAATTAGGACAG